ATGGTCCGGAAGTAATCTAAGAACGATATCAATAATTGATATAAATATGATTATTAAATATATTATAAATTGCAGCATTATATATATTATAAATTTATATTATAAATATATTTAGATAGTACATTATTACAATTATGAGTTTTATTATACAAGTGCTGCATAAATAAGTATGCATACTTGTAATACTGTAATGCTGCAAAATTATAATTTTTTTTCTCTACATAATATCATCTCTATTGATAATCAAACTCGTACGATAACATTAAAATCACAAGTTTAACAAAAAACGAGTATTACATTGTTTTTAAATATGTATAAATATATTTACGAAGCTAATAAATTATAAAATTACTATTACATTATCAGTTTTTTATTCTTAGTTTTTTACTCCGATTGCGTTACTTCGTCAACATTATTTTGACTTTAAGTCAAAAAGACTTTAAGTCAGAGAGTTTTGAGATTCAAAATTCTGTCTCTCTTTTTAAAACAGACTTTAAAACAGAAAGAGTTTTATGTCTCGTTTAAAGTCAAAGTAAAGTTTGTGCAACCCAGCGGCATCTACAATGAGATTTTAGTTTGGATCTACACTAGGTGTTTCAAACTTTAAGTCGTAAGAAATTGACCTATTACAGTCGAATGCTAGGAGAATAATTGACTATGATTCGTTTATTTCTTATGACTTAAGATTTAAAAATCTATTGTAGAAATCCGGATTAAGACGTAAAATTTAAATTTTAAGTTTACTAATTGTAAACCGTAAGAAATTGACCAATCATGGAGTATTATAGTATTCTTCTCACATTCTATTGTAATTGGTCAATTTCTTACCATTTAGAGTTTAAAGTTTTACGCCTTAAAATTTCATTATAGATGTCTTTAATCGGTGAACCTTTGTATTTGAATATTCCATTAGATCTGAAAAAGATCAAATAAGTACAACATTGATTGTGAGCGCTCAGCAAGCGATTGTAGTAAATGCTGCGCTCAATAGCTATCAGACTACCCGCGCCATTCATTCAAAAACGAGAAAAATTTTTTTTTGGGAGAGGGAATTTATAATAAAATTCCCCAAAAAACATTACATATTATAATTGTGCATGTAATTATTATACATATGTAATTATGCCAAGAATAATTAGTTTCTTTTTTCATTATTTACTTTCAAGATCATTTTGAGACCAGTGAATGGCATTTTCAGAAAAAATGTTTGTGGCAAAAGTCTCTTATTTTTTTTTGTGTGTAATCCGAATTTGCAATAAAAAGTACATATTACATTTAAAAAATCTAACATTCTGTTTGGATAATCTATGTCCAGTTGGAATCGGAAGTTGAAAATATCACCATTTGATAGAAGAATGTATCCGATTTACTTATCAAAGTTTTTTTATAAAGTAAAAACACAAAATAAATTTATCTTTTTTTTTACGTATTACGTATTTTTGCCATAAGGTTGTGTCATAACTAAAATTAAGAGACAAACTTTGAGTATTAAATACGAAAAAAAGGTTTATATTATATATTATTCACAAATTCACTGTTACCAAGATAACAGCTTAAAATGTTTATTAATGGAAAATATAAAAGTAATATTTTTTATTATATAATTTTCAATTTTTAATTGCAACAAATGTTCGAAGTGTCTCCCATTTGATTCAATATACGCATGGATTATGGACTATCACACTTTTAAAAATCCCGAGCAGTTGCGAATAGTTTCACATCAAAGATGCGGATGGAGTAGCATATTTTCGATGTTGATCTGAATAAATTAAAGGAGTTTTAAGTGTCTCTATAAAAAACGAGTGGTTCGAGAGATCATGTTCGAGTTCTATTAATAATCTCAATAACAGTGGATTTGCTATGTTTATATCAACTTTTTTTTTATATTTGAGGTGAGGAACTCGTCCCTAAAGTTTGTCTTTTAATTACATCTTGTATATCGTGTTTATTATAAATATTTAAAATTAATTGAAAACATTAACTGAAATATAAATTAATGGATATAAACATTTTCTTATAAATATTTATACAGGAATTATAAAGATAGTGAAGATGACAATACACCTGTTGTCCGTCCGAACATAAATAAAAAAACAAGAAGATATATGTTGGATTCTGAGTCTGACAGTGATTATGAACAGATAGATGATCATGAAAATAATGAAGCATATCATACGATTAATGATTTTAACTCTGATTCAAAAAGTTCTCGTGAAAATTATGATGAAGAATATTACAGTGACTTCAATTCTGATTCAGGTAAAAATTATCTAGCAAATAAAGATTAGTATTATACATAACAAACACTGGGATTATGTACGTATATATAAAATCATAGTATTATGTATTTTATTTATATATATATATAATTTCATACAGAATGTCTCGCGTAAAGATTGTAACACTTAAGGATCCTGAGATCATTTTAAAATGAAAATTCTAATACTAAAGTGTCAATGATATAATAGTTTTTGATAAACATTTAAAGTCAGCTTATATCGATTAAAATTTGCGCGTTCAGGCGTGATATCGAGTGAGAAATAATGAATCAAAATGATATTGAAATGATATCGAAATAATCGAAAAAAATAGAAATCCAACATTGTTTTGAGATTCAGATAGGCTCGATTTTGAGAAAATTTCGACATTAAAATCAGCTCAATTTCGAACAATTTTTGATATTGAAATCAGCTTGATTTCGAATAATTTTTTAAATCGAAACCAATGATCGCATTCAGCACTCAACTGTTGGGAAATGGATCCGTGAGCGCTTTTTCTTCTTTTCTCTCTCTCTCTCTCTCTCTCTCTCTCTCTCTTTCTCGCTCGCTTGCTCGCTATTAGTCTATTTAAAAAGATACACCAATAACAAAAGTGAGCGCTCATGGATTCGTTCCGGAACAGGTAAGTTTACTGAACGCGGCCAATGTCGAATTTGATAAATCATGGTGCAGGATAAACTACGAGCGCATGATGCAAATGCTATAAATGCTTTGAAGCATTCTTTGGTTAGAAATAATCACTATTAATAATAACTATCGGTTCGAATTGATGGTCATTTCTCAATCTTCTCATTTTAAGATCATCTTCAGTAATTTGGCTCATGATATCTTAAGATTGTACTTAAGACAGTCTTAAACACACACTAGCGGTTTGTTAAAATTTACTGTACACCCTGTGTGTTGTGTGTATATACTGAGAAAAAAATACTGTTGATTCAATTAAAATCTATATTACGGCTGTCACTATAACATAAGTGATTAATTCAGGCATAAATTATTATTTCAATAATCAAGACTTTTATGTCAATAAAAATATACATGAATTAATCACTTAAGTTAGTGATATAGCCCGTAATATAGATTTTAATTGAATCAACAGCATTTTTTTCAATGTATACATATATATATATACAGAGCATTTGGAAAATAATGATAAATCTTTCGCATAAGGGCAGAATAGACTAAACTGAAAAGAAAAGTCTTCTACCATTTTGCAATTTTCGCAATAGTTAACAAGATATGATTAATTGCTAAAAATCGCTGAAAATTGATTTTCAATAATTTTTTATTCAAATACTATCAACTTTATAGAAAAACTGTAAGAGACAAAAATTGTTTATTTTCTTCTCTATGAATTGTTTCAGAATTTTTTATTAACTTTTTAGTACTGCAATATCTCATTTTTATCAACATTTTTATCATGAGAAAATACGGTTAAAAAATTGCAAAATGGTACAGGATTTTTCTTCTCAGTTAGTTTAGTCCATTCTGCCCCTATGCGAAAGATTTATCATTATTTTCCAAACACCCTATATATATCTATATAATATATAGAATATATTGATATTGCTCACTACTTTTAAAGTTTTAATTGTATCCATCTGGAAATCGATTCGAGATCGCGAAGAGAGAAGTGACAATTGCATTTGAACAATAATTCGGTTTGTTTACCAATATGATAGATCATTTCTTTCTTTCTCTCTATCAATAAAAAATGACTCATTAAATTGATATCAAATCGATGTCGAATTGATGAATTTTTTTTAATGAATCAAAAATATTGGTATCATTTTAATTTCGTTTCAAAATCTATATAGAAGAATATGCAATAATTATAATATTAAAATTGAACAAAACAGTAATAACAGGAATAGCTATTTATCATTTATTTAAGACAACTCGAAAATAAATTCAAACATATATCGAGTTTTTTATCTTTATCAGAGCCATCGAGCTAATTTTGACGGCCTAGTATTGATATTAACTTTCTCACTAGATATAATTTAAAGTGCTAAAAATGAATGTTCTAATTGTCACCTCATGTTAATATTGATATAAAGATTACGCATATAAAATTATTTATATATTAAATTATTATACAATAACTTCGACATTTTGATTAAAGTTTTGTCTCAAAATAATCAAAGAAGTCTTCTCTTAAACATTGTTACGGTTTTTATGGGATATCTTGTATAGATTCTTTTGTTTTCTTTTATTTTATAGAATTCTGTTATTTTACATATTATAGATTCTTGTCTTTCATCTTCACAAATTAAAAATAAGAGTAAAAAAAGAAAAGATGTTACTCATGATAATACCAGAGAAGATATAAAAGAATTAAAACTTAATTCTTCTAATGATTCTCTAATTAACATAAATGACTTTGAGGAATCATACAAACAAAATAATACTAACCAGATACGGAAAATGACAGACACGGAAGACAAAGAAATTGATGTACCTGTGACTATTGAGCTTGATTCAGGTATTTTTATTTATAATAATCACGTATAGATTTTGGATAAATTAATATTTTTATATACAGTATAATAACATCTTCTATATTCCATACAAAGTTTAAAATTGAAATATAGTATGTTTTTAAAACAACATTTAAAGGTCTTTAAAATATCTTATGTTTTAATTATGGATTTTCATGTGTCTGAAAATTCTATATATACAGATTCTGCTTCTGGACAAAACAGCGATGCTGAATTTGCAATATCTGTTGCAAAAGAAGTAACTGGTATTGGAAATGTGGATTTAATGGCGCAAAAAAGAGCACTTACGGTTTACAAATTAGAGCAGCTTAAAAATGAGTCAGCCCAGATGAAGGTAATATATAATATATATGAGATATGTAATCGCGTGCGCGCGATAATTATCTATATGAATGTAGGTCAATATTTAGCGAAAATTGTGTACAAAATTAGTATATATTTGTCATGTTGTTTGGAATTGAGTTTATTATTCTAATAAATAGTATAGATAATTTTGGTAATACATATATCACATAAAACCTTATATTCTTAGCAACTACTCACTGAAGGAAATATCGACATATTTCCCGATAAAGGACAAAAATTACAAGAATTCATACATCAGCAAGAAGAAGAAATAAAGAACTTGACACATGAATTGGAAGATACTTCTTTAGTACCACTTTTCAATAATCGAGATACTGTAGAAAAATCACATTTCAAGAAAGAATTACAATTTTCTGAAGATGAGCTAGACTCAAACTACACCGATTATTCATATTTGGATATTGACAATATACCAATGAGACCTACCACATCTCCTGAATCAAGGCAACTTAGTTTAAAAGCACAAGCAACAAGAGATAAGGAATATGCTTTAACGGTTGAACGATTACAAGATTTGCATGGATCTCTAGTAGCTCGGCCATCAGAGAAAGAAAAAGCAGAAGATCCAAAAGGGTTGAAGGTACAGTTAATGCCGCATCAACAGCATGCTCTCGCATGGCTTCTGTGGAGAGAACAGCAAAGACCATCCGGTGGCGTTTTAGGTTAAAAAAATAATTTATGATATTAATTACATATTAATATATTAAATATTTGATTAATTTTGTGTTATTATTGAAAATGAATTTTTTTATAGCTGATGATATGGGCTTGGGCAAAACACTAACTATGATAGCTTTGATTTTGACCACTCTTGCTAAAGATTCTGATGAAAGTGATGATAATGATGCTACATGGGAAGGATCTTCACTATGTAAAAGTTTTATAGAATTTTATAGAATTTATAATATAAACAAGTTGCTTTTCTGTAATTTTGAAAATATTTGCTACTTTAATTCATTTAAATTGTGATACTATATTCAGCATAAATTATGAAAATTTTTATATAAATGTAATATAATAAATCTATTAAGATGAATATACATATTACGACAGGTTATAAAGGTGGTACTCTAGTAGTATGTCCTGCATCTTTATTGTCACAATGGAAAAATGAAGTGCAGAACAGATGCAAACTTGGTCTATTATCTGTTCAAGTGCATCATGGCAGCAATCGACAGAACGCTCCTAAACAATTAGCAAGAAAAGATATAGTCATCACGACATATAATATAGTATCTCGAGAATATAAAACTAATTCTACATTATATAAGGTATATTAAAGCTTACAAATATTATTTGACCAATAAGTAGACAAGTAGAAATTTTATTTTATTAATACGTATATAATACAGACCTGAGTTTTAATTTAATCGCAAATTGAAATTTTATTATAGATTAATTGGAAAAGAGTTATACTCGATGAAGCGCATATAATAAGAAATCACAAGAGTCAAGCATCTGAAGCAGTATGTGGACTTGTAGCGAATAAACGGTGGGCTCTTACCGGCACACCTATACAGAATAAGGAGTTAGATTTATATTCCATACTGAAGTTTCTTAAATGCTCACCTTTCGACGATTTACGCGTTTGGAGGCGATGGGTAGATAATAAAAACGCTGCGGGCCATCAAAGATTAGCAACGGTAATGAAGACGTTAATGTTACGCAGAACTAAACACGAATTGATGTCGAAGGGCGAGTTGGAAAGTTTACCCGATAAATGCATTGAGGAGGTGATAGTGCAACTCGATCAACAGGAACAATTGGTTTATAAAAAAATTTTAGCGTATTCCCGTACTCTGTTTGCACAATTTTTAGCTCAACGTGCAGAGAAAGAACACATGTTAGATTTGTACAGTGGCAAATACGATAAACCTTCCTTTTCCTCAAACCCAAGTAAGATTTCATTAAAAATAATATGCTATATCTTGCGTACTTTCTAATCATC